GGCACTGTGTGGGGTTGTTGTGACCCAAGGGTAGGACCTGGCACTTGGAATTGTTAAACTTCATACAATTGACCTTGGCCCATTGATCCAGCCTGTCCAGATCCCTCTGCAGAGGCTCCCTACCATCATGCAGATCAACACTCCCACCCAAATTTGTGTCATCTGCAAACTTACTGAGGGTGCACTTGATCCCCTCATTGAGATCATTGATAAAGATATTAAATTGGACTGGCCCCAAAACTGAGCCCTGGGGAACAGCTCTTGTGACTGGTTGCCAGATGGATTTAACTCCATTCACCACAACACTCTGTGATCGGCCATTTGAAAAATATGAAACGCTTCATAAATTTGCATTATGACCTTGACCCATATCCCAGGGAGGCAGCAGACTTCCCTAAGAGGAGGGTCTGCCCAGCATATTGGACCCTCTGTTCCCCTCAGAAGGCAGTGCCCTACAATTATAACCAGTCTTTTTTTTTCCTCTTGGAGGTGGTTGCGATTTGGGAGGTAAGTCTTTCTGACCTTGGCGACACCTCTGGTGTAGATGGACCATTGTCCACACCATCCATTCAGTGGCCTTCCATGTCCAGAGCCTGGTACCTACTGTACAGAGGCACCTGGGGTGGAAAGGTGGGCAAGGAGGGAGTCCATCTGCCACCCTAAGCACGGACTTACCTCCCTTCACTTCTTTAATTTACTGCCTTCAGCTCAGCAGCAGGAGAATACAGGGTCCCCTTGATCTTGTTCTTTTTCTGGTGGGTGTTCCTGTGTCTCAGGGAGGGCAGAGCACGGCTCCACCAGTCTATCTCTTCCTCAGCCTCCCTGATGCTCCTCAATCTTTCTACTTTCTCTTTCAGCTCTGCCACCAGGCTGAGCAGATGGTTCACCTGGTCACAGTGCACACAGCTGTTCTCACCGCTGCCACATTACCAGTGACAGGCTCAGTCATTGCCTGCAGCCCAAGACCTGGACAGCTGCATGTTTTCACAGGAGCTCTGTCTCCGTTACCACCTCCATTCTGGTGAGTGCAGAGGACAGAGCTTTCTGCCAGGTGGATACCATAGCTAGGCTCCTTCTGAGAGGGTAATGACCACCAATGGAACTCATCACATATGCAATGACATAGACCCACAAGAACCCAGCAGGGGCAATTCCCCTGCCAGAACATGCTCAAGCTATTCATGTTATCTAGCAAAGCACACACCCTTTCTCATCAACCTATATGCACACAGGGCTTCTAAATTAGTCATCTAAATAAGATACCTTCTGACTTCCTCCCACCAGCTGTAACCCGGTACATGTTTTATTGCAAATGAGAGTATGATAGCACTTCTATGGAACAGAAGTAGGATATTGTACAGTAGTCAAACTATCACATACATCTCAAAGTACTTTCTTTCAAATGTTGAATTTAACAGTTTTCGGTTCAGAATGACTTTGACCTGAAGGTGAAGAAGTTTATACTGTCCATTACACCAGCATTACCTTGTCCAGTGCTTCAGTATTGTCTCCAGCCTGTGAATCTCTTTGGTAACCTTGCTGGTGTTACTTAACCAGTGTTCTCCTAGTTGATTCAGTTGACTTTCAAGATCTGAGCAGCTAACAGAAAAAAGGAGCCTTTTCCCATCATCTAGCACTTGGTATAATTTAGGTTGGTATTCAATCAGTTTAGATCTCAGATGCTGTAATGACAGAGGAGATGGTTAGATAGCTCTGCAGGTCTCTGCTACCACACGAAATTTCTCAACATTTAGTTTTCTTTTATTGCATTTTGTAGCATATCCAATGTCACCATGGCACACCACATTTTTTTGCTCTGCTTCAGCTCTAGAACCCCCTGAGAACCATCACAGAATCACAGAATGGTTTGTGTTGGAAAGGACCTTAAAGACCATCTAGTTCCAACACCCCTGTCATGGGTTGGGACACCTCCTTCCACCAGATCAGGTTGCTCAAAGCCCCATCCAACCTGGCCTTGAACACTGCCAGGGAGCGGGCAGCCACAGCTGCTCTGGGCAGCCTGTGCCAGTGCCTCACTGCCCTCACGGTGAAGAACTTCTTCCTAATAATGAATTTATTCTAATATCAAACCTAAATCTCCCCTCTTTCAGTTTGAAACCATTACCCCACATCCTCCAGTACACTCCCTGGTAGAGTCCCTCCCCACCTTTCCTGTAGGCCCCCTTTAAGTACTGGAAGGCCACTCTAGGGTCTCCCTGATTCTCCAGGCTGAACAACACCAGCTCTCTCAGCCTGTCCTCATAGGCAAGGTGCTCCAGCCCCCTGATCATCTTCATGGCCTCCTCTGGACCTGCAGGAGCAGGTTCATATCTTTCTTACAATGCGGGCCCCAGAGCTGGACTCAGTACTGCAAGTGGGGTCTCACCAGAGAGGAGTAGAGGGGGAAGAATCACCTCCCTCGAACTGCTGGCCACACTTCTCTTGCTGCAACCCAGGATATGGTTGGCTTTCTGGGCTGTGAGCACATGTTGCTGGCTCATGTTCAGCTTTTCATCCACCAGCACCTCCAAGTCCTTCTCTGCAGGGCTGCTCTTGAGCAACTCATCTCCCAGCCTGTATTCATGCTTGGGATTGTCCCAACCCAGGTGCAGGACCTTGCCCTTGGCCTTGCTGAACTTGTATATGGGGACAAATATACCCAACAAATTCCACTAACATTACACAAATAGTACACATTTTAAAAACATCTGTATATTTGACTAAGTTTGAGCACAAAATGTACATGCATTCCCATTTTTCAGTTCTGGTGAAACTAATCTGAAGATAAAGTGTACAAACTCATGGTGAGTACATAAACTTTCTATCACTCTTCTTATTTTCTCTTTCACATAAATAGAGCTCTAATAACTTAACAGAATTTTATATATGTCTGTCTGTGTGTTAACTTACATATAACATAGATACACAAATAAATGTCTAACTCCTGGAGAGTAGCATAAAAAAGTCTAAGCTAGTCATAAATTAATTATGACAAATTTTTAACTGAAAAGTGGGCACAGGGAGAGAAAATAAAACCCTAGTAAAAATTATGCCTTAGCAGAATCGGAGAATCTAGATTTGAATAACCTAATTTATGTAACTGACAAGAGAAACAAAACAGGAAAACTAATTTAGGCACAGGATCAACACAAACAATGCCTACCATTAAACACAACCAAAATAAAACCCACACACAATAGACTGCTTAATTTTTCCTCGTAACATTGCAAAAGCAGAAAGCTGCCTGGTAAAAGAACAATATACATAACAAATTCAGAGTAGGGAAGAAGTCAATCTGCAAGAAAAAACTGGCAGACATTTTTCTGTAAAACCAAATAAGAAAACAAACAAACAAAACCAACCAAAGTGTCTGGTGTATAAGGAGACAAAGACAAAAACACTAGACCAGAATTCTCATTTTAAGAGCAGACTGAAGAAACAGGATATGGTAGAAAACCTATATATAAACTACTAGTTCTTGTTGCATTTGAGAACGCAGGCAACTTGGAGAACCCCAGGTCGTTCAGCCTCACCTTGCTCTCTGGAATGATCATGGAGCAAATCCTCTTGGAATCCATTTTCAAGGACAGAAATGACCAAAAGGTAATGAGGAATATTCAGCTTGGATTCACTAACTTGTCAACCTTTTATGATAAAACTACTGTTTCTGTGAATGAGACTGACTTCAGTATGGCCTTTGACACCATCTCCCACAGGACCCTCCTCTGGAAGTGGAAAGAATGCAGGCTGGATAAATGGACTGTTACATGGGTTGAAAACTAGCTGCATCACCTCTTAAACACTAGTAATCAAAGGCTTGATGTCTGGCTGGTGACTGTAATGGGCAGAGTACTCTGAAGCTTGTTGACATTTGAGCCCAAACATCTTCAACATCTTCATTAATGGCGTGGATGAAGACAGTGGTCCCTCAGTAAATTTGCGGATGATTCTAATGTAGGGAGAGTGGTTGAGACAAAAAATGGCAGACTTGGTCCAGGGTCACTTTGATAAACTTGAGGTTGGAGGCAGCAGAAATCTTAGGAGGCTCAACAAGGGCAGACTAACCCTGTTTCTCGGTACAGGCTAGGAAGGGAATGGCTAGTGTATTTAACCTGGCATCTTCCACAAGCAAGACATTATGAATAAGGCAAGCCACAGCACTGGCCTACATCAGGACTGTGAACAACTGACACAATTTATTTTATTATCCTCATCTACACGGTCCTCATGAGGCCACACCTAGTGCCTCTGATTCTGCTCTATCCCCATCTCCCGCTGAGTTCAAGAAGGAAGTAGTCAGGGTGTGGTGTAGAGCTATTAAGATATTTAGGCACCTAGAGCATGTGTCCTTTAAGAAGAGGCTGAGGGAGGTGTGCTTGTTTTAGATTGACAAACAGGAGGCTAAGGGCCAGTCTAACAAAGATCTACAAATATTTGGAGCAGAATTAAGAAGATGATAGAGGTAAGTGCCCCTCAGTAGTGTCACACAATATAAAAAGGACAATGGTGACAAGCTGAAAGCTGAAGGTTTAGATTGGGCATTACAGAAAACCTTTTCAGTAGGAGGCGGTGCAGCATTGCCATTGGTCCCGAGTTTGGCTGTGGGATTTCCAGCTTTTGAGGTTTCCAAAGCTGTTGCTGATCCAGGCAATAGCAACTGTCCTGCTTCAAGTGGGAGGCTGGGCTAGATAACCTTCAGAGGTCCCTTTTATCCAACTTTTCATAACAAATGTTTAAAAAGCACCAACCTGAAAAAGTGCAATCCGGTCTGTAAGCCTGTCCTCCGTCTCTTCCACCAAACCAACAGCGGGGATGTTACCTTCAACAGACTCCAGCTGACTGGTAAGTTCCTGGTAGTCTTCATCCAGACGCATCCAGGTCTGCAAGTACAAGTTATCCATATATATGGGGAATACTGAATCTGGGTATCTAGAATTTTTATTACTGGCTTTCTCAATCTGAAACCCTACAGTTGCATGGTTGTGAATGTACAGAAATAACAGTACAACTGTCTACTGAACCTATAATAAGGCATCATCTCTTTGTCAAGCTCAACTTTTGGCTAGATCGCATGGATAACGCTGTCATGTTGTCCTTGTCAGCTAAAGGTATGCCGCTCTTTTAAATTTAGAGTAACACACCTTATCTCACTTGAAGGTCACCACAGTTAAATAGCAAAGGTTCTATGTAGTCTATCAGTGCCTTGTGTGTATGGCAAAAGGGACTGATGTCCACCAGTTCTGTCTAAGCATGGGAAATCAACATTGTAGAATATCCTGGTAGCTGATCACACTGGCAGTACAGAAAAGACCACAGAAATTCTCACCTCTACTATGTATTCCAGCTCCACACCTCGTTTATGAGCCAGCTTCAATACAGCTGAAGCTTGTGTCATTAGCTCTGAATGTGACTGAGTTTCCTTCAAGAGGGCAAAGCTACTCAGCTTTCTAAAGAGCGTTTCCGTCAGGATCATGTGAGCCTCCAACCCCTGAAAATATTCCTGCGAAATTTGGGTTTCAGAGAGAGGGTAAAGACAGAATAGAAAACAGAAAGTGTAATTGTTATTCCTTACCACTAAACCAACATTTTAAGACTACAGCAGTACAATCAAGTATCTGTACACAAAGAATTAGGCAAACTTTTCACTCCACCAGCATTTCACAAAATCCACACACAATTTAAAAAGGAAAATGGCCCTTTTAAAGAAAGAAAGAGGTGATCCTTTTGTCCTGATTTAGGCCCAGCCAGCAACAAACCACCATGCAGCCGCTTGCCCACCACCGCCCCCTTCCCCTCAGTGGGATGGGGAGGAGAACCAGAAGAATAAGGTAAAACCTCGTGGGCTAAGATAAGGACAGTTTAATAGAACAACACAAGAAGAGAAGAAACAACCGTAATGACAGTAATACTAACGAAATAATAGATAAAGTGGGTGATGCACAATGCAATGGTTTACCACCTACACCCTGACACCCTTAGGAAGCCTGTGCTCCCCCCCGGCCACTCCCCCCTTATATATTGAGCATGACTCAGGCTGGTATTCAATGTCCCTTCGATGGTTCATTGGGCTGTCCTGGCTGTGTCCTCTCCCAGCTTCTTGTGAAAATTAACCCTATCCTAGTCAAACCCAGGACACCTTTCCACACAAATGACATCCCAACTCTCATTCCATAAAGAAAAACAGCTTAAATCAGATATACACTATAAAAAAATTCTGCCTAATTAAAATATATGGAAAAGTCTTATTATATTCTGTGGGTCAATTAGCAAATGTAAATGAAATTGTCATGTAGCATGACAGGACAAGAACAGGAACTTGTTATTAGAATAAGGAAGAAAATGTGATCTACCTGGGTTTACCTTCAACAAAGCATTTGAAAGTCATTCAGCCAGAACAGTTCATTGATTCCAGTTTAAAATATAATAAGTATTATTATATCCTGATTTTACACTGGCCCACCATTCTGAAAAGCTGATTAGGAACAGAAGGTTAGCAGCTTTCTGTGAACAAGCTTACTTGATTAGTCCTGAAATATGTTACAGTTTCTTACCTTATGTTTGTCAAGTAGCAAGCGAACCTCTTCCTTAGAAGCAACAATCATTTTCTGGTCACCAGCCATCTTTTCTTGGCCTGTTTCTACCAGGTCAGCCAGGTCCTGCAAAGCCCGTTCATACTGCCTCTTAAGAGCCAGATTCTGATTCAGGTCACTGCGTCTGGATCCAATGATCATCATCAGCTCATCATACTTATCCTTGGAGGTAAAGAGCAGTAATGGTGACTCTTACTTCACACCTTACATGTCTTCCTAGAAGCAACCTTATTGTCCCTGTATTCCTGTGAATACTAGCAGAATAACATCTATTTCCAGCTCAAAAAGACTGTGCATATATACTGACTTCATTGATAAATTACAACTTGCCATTTAAAGAGAGAAAAAAGGAAGACCTGCAACTCTTCCAAGTGCATGCATTCAGCAACAAAGTTAGCAGAACCCCAAAGGTTTGCTTTAAATAGTAAAGGAGTAGGGTGATTTGGCTTAAGTCATCAAAAAACAGGCTACTGTGTGGCTACTGCGCACTGCAGATGCTGTTTATGTTTTGCTTCTTATAGGGCAGAGGGTTGGGCGGACTCCGTGATGACTACAAACTACAGCCATCTCAAAGCCAGATTTGTTTCCCTCTCCTGCCCCAAGAGCTTACTGGTAACAAGCAAGATATATACAACTTGTAGTAAAAAACAAACCAGGACTAAAATAGCAATATACTTTACACAGAAAAAGCGCAGTGTGTATTTCACAGTGTGCCCATACTGCCAAATCACAAAACAAGGAGAAAGGAAGAATCTCATCAGTTCCCATGTGCTATTACTCATCTTGTATACCTCAATCATAAAAGTGAGAACAACCTACAGATGCTTTTCTTCACCTGAGAAGGTGTTACTTTATTGTTCTGGTTTTGAGAACTGTATTCTCAGAACATACGTCTGACTATGAGGATAAGCCCATACTTTTGATCAAGACAAGACATTCCAGCAAGTAATAATCCAAAATATCTCAATGACCATCCAGTGCTACACCAATGTACCCACCCTCGGACTGCAGCTGGCTCTCCTAGCTTTAAAGAGAAAATTATGAGAAGCTGAACTGTCAACAAAGATTTTTCTAAAAACTGAAATCAAGGGGAGTGGGATAGTCACACATAATCTAACAGAAAAAAACAAAAAAAACCCAAAAAAAACCCAGGAGGCTCTATCTAGGACCAAAAGGATTAAGAACTGGGCAAAAGACACATTTGCACAAACTCTTTGTCATTCATTTTTCATTGACATCACTGGTTTGTTGGCTTAATTAGTTTATGGTCCAGTTTCAGCTGTTCTCTTTGCTTCCAATTTATTACTATATCATTATAAAGGGTAAAATTCAGTAGTAAACCTTCTCCTTGATCTTTTCCTAAGTGCTTCCCTGTCTCAGTGCCAAACTGCTCACAAAGGAGTTTCAATAGCCTTATAGAAGTTCTGGATCAATTGTCTACATTTATCTACTTCAGAGAGCCTTAAGATAAGAGTCCTACTACTTAGATGTGTTCAAAACTAAGTCTAACTGAAAGTATGTAGGTACATGAGATGTGTTTTAGTAAAAGCAGAACATTTCCAGTTTCAAGTCACATGTAACTATCTATTCCCTCTCATCCTCCTCATTTTTCTTTTAAAGAGAGAGAACTAAACCCCACATCATGAGACACTTGTAAGAACAGGGGTCAACCTTCAGCAGACATTTATGTTTACTTGCTTAACTTTGAACAAGGAGTCAACAAGAGCTGAAAGAAAACATTGTTTTGTGTGTTTTTATGATTAATACTGCTAATAATAGAGATGGTATAAAATTTCAAAATGCAAAAGTAGAAAAACTAGGTGAATCAGAGAGAAAACAGTATTTTATACTCACTGAAATACTTTTAAATACGCTTTCCTAAACCTCTTTATGGACAATAAAAAGGAGCATACTAACACCTTTGATATCATGAGACAGGTCTGGGATGGAAATTATGAATCATACCTGGATCTTAGACAGCTCTTGCACAGAAGGTTGGTCAATTTGTAGCTTGTCTACACGCTTCTTTAATTCAATGATTCCAGCATCTAGTTCCTTCAAATCTTCTTCTGCCTGCAGTATGACCTGTATTTGAAAATTACATCATTTAGTTTGAAGGTTTAGTAACAGTACTGTAGCTGCCATACAGTAATATTCTGCCTGAAACACTAACCAGTTCTTCAATGTGCTGAAATTTTAAAGGATACTATAAAGAAAAAGTATTAATTCAAAGTTGGCAGAGCCCAGCTTGTTTCTGAAAGTTAAATACAATACAGTATTATTCTAATAACAAGCTGTTTTAGTATTATACACTATTTTATACCAAATCTTGCTGTGAAATTCCATGCTTTTAATTATACAGTACAGGCACAAAACGACTATTAGTTGTTCTAACATCTTCTTTTAAAGCATTCTTTTTATTATACTCATTTCTGTCATATCTGAGCACCAAGCAAACAACCGTCACAGCAGACGACATGCACGATAGCAAAGAGCTGTGCAGAGTTCCCTTTCAGGACCAGGACAGGCCAAAATTACTGTCAAGGAAAAGGATTTTTACATCCTCTTTTTTCACTTGGAAAACTATGACTTAAGAACACAGGTTGGTATTTGCAAGTGTATGCAGGTAACAACTGTACTTCTTTCAATGGAAGCTACAAGCTTTCCTAGGCCTTTCAACCTAAGAGTCTCTGCTTAAGTTATGCATGCAAGCTATAACAAAGTTAAAAGCACAAGCTAGACTCCTGTAATTAAAGTCATTTGTTAAGGCCCTTTCTTGGAAATTGGCTATTCAAATACGCTTAATCTATATATCTGAGTAGTAGTCCTGGCTCCCAGTAATGCAGAGTATGCACGATACAGTCAGTAAACTTACACTTCATGCAGCTACGTTACCTGTCTGATTACGGGCCTCATTTCTTCGTTCCAAATCACATCTTGAACAAACATCAATGCTTTTAAATTTGAATGTTTTATCAGCCAAGGTAGATATTCAGAAACAAATCAATTCAGTTGCTTTTCTTATCACATTGTTTTCCTATTTGGTACTTAAGTTAACCATACAGGAGATAATTTTTTGCCAATCTTTTGCATCATGAAAGATAGAAAAGAAAGAGCTGGAGTGCCAGCTGTCTTATTCACACAAGAGACTTACAATTCCTTCAAAATTTGATTATCAGGTATATAAAGCCCATTAGTTCTGTTTAGCTGAAGGGTAAGTCTCTTCCTCTTGGTCACCTGCTGGCACCAGACATCAGTAGCTCTTGAGTAACAAGAAACATTTGTAGAAAGTAGCCCTTAGCACAATTCCTTCACTTTTCTTATTGGCAAAACAGAAACAAGGGAACAGGATGTATTTTTTCACATTAATAATTAGCTATTCATAAGGCATCATTATTGCCTTAAACTAAAATGAATAAGTCAAGATATTATTACTACAAACCAGTGCAGATGAAAGTGCCTTTGGTTTTTAATAAAGTGCAATAGCCAATGTAGGCAAATTTTAGACTTTTTTGGTTCACTGAAGTTTTCTTCCTTTCAAATACTGTCCAGTGTATGCATAACTAGGTCAGCTGGGGAGATAAAAAAGACACTTTGTGTTGTTGTTTCTGTTTGTTTGGGGTTTTTTTTTGTCGTTTTTTTTTTTTTTTTAAATTTATAAAAGTGGAGTACACTCTTGGGAGTACTCATTTTCACATACTTTATGTGAACACATACGTTCTCCCATAAAAAGCAACTGTTCTCTAGAATCCATTTATACTTTGAATAGAAGCTTTACCTCTTCCCCTCTCCCCAAGTAATAGACATTTGGCAATACCTGCATTTGTTCTGTTTCTGGTCTTTCAACTGCCTCTGCTAGTTTCTGTAGAACTAAATATTTGTTATCAGCCACTGATGTAAACAGAAGCTTCAGATCACTCTACAGGAAATAATAACAAATTACAGTCAATCATAACACAAACCAACTGAAAAATATTTTATGTTCCAAAAAGTTTAAAACATTACAATGTTATAATGTCAGCACTAAGGCACAAAAGCTATTCAAAACTGGATGCATCATAATTAGCCAATGCAAAACATTTAACACTGCTGAAAATCCATAACTGGATATATATGAGATAAAAGCTAAAGCAACCCCTATTCAAAACATAGCCTGTGAACACACTTCTCCTTTTTCCTTCCAATTAGACAATTAATTAGCAAGGGTCACTAGCTTCATTTAATGAAAATATGTTATTCTTGTGTAGTTTATCCAAACACATACGCTTGTAAACAAGCTAGGTTTTACTTTTTAAGGCAAGCTTTTTTCATTACAAACTTGAGCAAATATAACAAAGAAGTAAACAAGGCTTCAACACATTACAGGGCTAACTACACATTACAACTTTTAGAGTACCTTATCAGACTAGACACATAAATATTTAACAATTTTGACAAGCTACAATTATTCTTGGTTTTTTTTTTTTTAATGCATTCATCCTGAAAGAAAATTATCAGGACTTTTTTCTAAGACCTTCAGCATTATATAAGGGGTGCATTACTGATTTTTTTTTTTTTTTTTGCATGTAGTAATTCTTTTAAATACTAAATATCTGTGGTATAACAATAATGCACAGGATTCTAATCAACTTGTCTGCTTTCTTCAGTAAGGAAAGGCCTTTCATTGAAAAATTTTGAATACTTTTTTTTTTCCTGTCTACTGCAGGAGAAAGATTATGGAGTTTGGAAACAAATCTTGTAGTAACAACCTATGAAATGACGAGCCTAATCTAAAGACAGGAAGGAATCTATTTTCTATTTTTTTCTGTTGTAATTTACGTTTTTTCATTAAAACTAAACCATACTGGAGGCTTTATATAACAATAGAAGAGAAGGTAGAGACCAAGTAAGCTCTGAAAGCATTTCTGAACTCTTTTTGAAAAGATTTCTAAAAGTGCACATTTCTCCACTTATCCTTGTTTTTTCCGCTTTGCTCAATACAGGTGACTTGAGATATAAGCTCTTATAGAGTAACAGGATGGCTTAAAGATGGTCAGAAAGGTGTGAATCTGTATTATGCTTTGTACTCTAAAACCAGCATACTCTATCATTTATGAAATTATAAAATGTATAGAGTGGAACTCTAAAGTTGCTTTTTCTCCTTCGAGAACAGTAGTCAACAACTTCCTTTCATATAATGCCAGCAGGGTGAGAAAGCATGGGACGAATGATCACTTTACTATAATTGCATGAGTTGCAGAAGGCTTCTAGCAGAGAATTTAAATTTCAAATCATGATTTGGGTGCCAAGTTTTGCATAGCCTAAGAACAACTCAGATTTTTCTGTAAAAACTTGTAACAACCTTGTTCTCTAGATCTGTTACCAAAAATTCTCATTGCTTTGAGAATCACATCCTTTATATCCCCATTTGACGTGTACCCCTGTTAATTCCCTCAGATGGGCATCATACCTTGAAAGTCACTATTTCCTGGAGCTGTTCTTTCATCTGATGGCATCTCTGGTTTACTACTGACTCCAGTAAGGTCAGTCTTCTCAGGAGACAATCCAAAGTGTCTTCTATAATATCCCTATTATCACCATTCTCAGGAAATATCTGAGCAAATAAATTCTTGTTCTTATCCATTTCTTCTGTTATGCTTTTGATTTCTTTGTCAAGAGACTGATTTTGCAGAAAACAAAACAAAGTGACAATCAGACATTCTGGAAAACAGGCAAACTTATTGCCATAACCATTGTCAATTTTGCAGTGATGCAGTGACTTTTCTATATTTTTAATATACACACACTAGACAGAGTTATGCAGCTACAGTATCTCTGATAGTAAAAAGATCCCAGACTGCTCTGAGGAAAGCAAGTGCTGAAACAAAATGATGTCGCACCATAGAATCACAGAGTAGTTTGCGTTGGAAGGGACCTTTAAAGCTCATGTAGTCCAATCCCCCTGCAGGGAGCAGGGATCGCTTTAGCTAGATCAGGCTGCTCAGAGCCCCATCCAACCTGACATTGAGTATTTCCAGGGATGGGGCTTCCACCACCTCTCTGGGCAGCCTGTTCCAGTGTTTAACCATTCTCATCATAAAAAAAATTCTTCCTTATATCTAGTCTGTATCTGCGCTCTTTTAGTTTAAAACCATTATCCCTTGACCCACTGCCTCTCTCTCCCCTCCTGTTCCCTCACTTCCTCTCCTCTCCCTCTCTCCCTTCCCCCCATTTCATGTTGATGAATTTGTACTGTTTCTATATCCCAGAGCATTCCTCCATCTTTTTCACTTCATTTCAATCTCAACAACATGACATTTACTAATACTTAGCAAAGTTACTAAATGGAAGAAAGACTATATTTAATTCTCTTCTGACCAGGAAAAAATTGGGTCAGGTGCTGCTTTCTGCAACACTCTCTACATGGTCAATAAAGTCACTTCTACCAGTAGCAGAATACTGCAATTACACAGAGATTATGACAGCAACAGTCACTCCTCCAGGATGCTACTTTCTTTCTAAATGCTACATAAAATGCATCCTTATGGCAATTTAAAGGAAGTCCAATGCATGGACTCCTTACCTCTTGCTTGCTGAGGTATGTTTCTGTTTCTTCCTCTGGCAACAGTGCTGTAGCAACAAAGACCTGTTCTTCCACACCATCTAGCCACAAAGAAGTGGCTGTGACACTATCATACAGCTTCTGTTCAAGATGCAGGCTCTCCTCCATCCGTCCAGCCTGAGCAAAAGGAACCAGAGAATTCCAGAGCAGAAGTACAAGATACTCTTATTAACATCTACTATTTGGGAAAAGGCTGGATTTCCAGGAGGGAGCTAAAGGAGTTTTAAGTGTAAATGTGGCTTTGCTGGAGGATAGGTAAAGAAAATTGAAATGTTACCTCAGATGACGCATCTTCAAAGGCTTGATTCAATTCAACCAATACTGGTGACACTGAGGATTTTTCTTCATCCTGTCCTTCCTCCTTATACAAAGGCATTGCAGATATCAGTCTGTTTGGTCTGCTATAAAGCTGCTGAGAGAAAAGTACTAATTAGGATACTTCTACCATATACAGGGCACAAAATTCAGCTATACAGATTCTACTGCTGACCAAGGATATCACCAGCTAATGCTCACATTCCTCCCAGAACTGTTTTGTGTCATGAATATCTTGACTAAAAGAGGGCTCAACAGGAGGTTCACTAGAAGTGTAGGATAAATACTTGTGGCCAGAATTAGAAATGATTTCTTTATTAAAAAAATAAAAATTAATTACTGTTGAATGAATACAAAATACTTAGAACTTTGGAAGCTGATTTTAATGTAGTGTTATATAAAGAACAGTGGGCCTGGGTCTATTAACATTAAAATGGAGGATGTATGTTAATACAGAACTTGAGTTATCCCCAGTTCCGTTGATTGAGCCCTGTTTCTTTCAGTAAAAATTCTGTGGCTGAAACCACTTGCTTCTTTGTCACACACCCACTAAGATCAAGAATTGAATGTAACTAACGAATTCAAACTGAAAATATCAGTTTTTCCTCTAAGTTGTTGCCAGAGTACTGGCCAATTTCAGAGGCATAATTTGTTACAGAATTATCCTGGCTTAGATAAGTAGATCAAAATTTTGTCTGAGCTCTTTCTTCCTTTCTAGTTTATTCACTGGAATGGTAGTGCAATTCAAATCACTTTGAACAAGAGGAATGCTAGTGCCAATATTTAGTAGTTTTAAAAGATCTCACAAAAATAAATGGTTCCATATTCTTTCCATTAACTACATCACCTTAATGCATCTGCTATGCACATACTGCACCTCATGTTGTGACATCTGCTTTCATAGAGAAAATGCAAAGAGAAATTAAATATAGCTACCAGTTGTTCTTGTTCCAAAGCTTTCTGGAGCAGTCTCTGCTTGGTATTGAATTTCTGGTTCAGGCTTTCCCATTTCACCTTCATCTGTTCCTCAGATGATGGCTTCTCACCTTCCAAGCTTAATTCTTCAGAGAACGTATTGGGCTTCTCACTGAATGGGAAGAAGCATAAAGAATTTACAAATACAAAAGTTATAACTGTATAAGGTGTTTATTTTCTCTTTCAATTAGGAAATTCTACCTTTAAATTAAGTGTTAATTTTTAAAGCTTCAACTTGTTTTGTTTTGTTTTGTTTTTTTTCAGGTAGCAAGACACGGGCTGGTTTGTAACAGCAAGAAGCTCTTGTCTGATTAAATAAAATGTACTTTCTAAGAAACTGTTTTGAGTTGCAAGTACTCATATTAAATTAAAAACCCCCAAACAGACAGAATATATACTACATTGAAACGCAACCTTTAAACAAGCTTTACTTCAAAGCACGAAATAATAAAAAACCCCTATCTGACTCCTTCCTCACCTCCTCTCTCAAAATGCCAGACGTATCCTGGTATTTTAATGCAGGACAAGCATATGAGTTTAGCTTTGGTAAACAACAAATGAAGTTCAGCATTTTCTATTTGATTTTTTTGTTTGTTTCTGTAGTATAACATCATGTGACAGAAGGAAGCCTCAAACAGAAGGAGGTAAGTTAAGTAATTTCTGTCATTATAATAAAAAAACACATTGAATTAACACAAACGCTGAGTACAGCTTACATTCCCTACGCATGTCTTGGTTCTGCTGCCTCATGAACTACCTTCACGTTCTAGACTTTGTCATGCTGGAGGAGCCACAAAGGTGCTCACTACTACTGAGATACACCAAAGAAGTATTTTAACTGAAGGGTTGACAGCTCCTTGATTCTTAAGCTGGTAATGTTCACCCTGTTTTCCTTTTCCTAAGACCTTGCCCTTTCTGCTCCCTGAAAGTTTGTATCAGCATGGGCAGTAGATTTCTTCTGCCTTCTCTAGGGCAGAAGTCTCTCCGTCAGAGCTGAGGCTTTTCTAGACTACTACTTTCCCCCCAAAATGGGCAAGAAAATATAGACCAGAGGTGAATTTGAAATACACAAGGCTTCAAAAGAAAAATATTTACTAACTGCAGGAAAAATAAAATTTAGCAATGAGTATCTCATCTGGGCAGACCTGGTCACAACGGCAGAAGTTCTAGAGATCTGCTATGATACACATGCCAATGCTGGAGGATAAAGCTATAGAAACTTATCCACTGCTTGTCTAATGAATCCTACTAGTTTGTAATTTTAGTGTGATGCTTCATTATAAGAATAAAAGGAATTTCTAAATGCTGAAGGGGATCTATTGGCACAAAACAATTTATGTAACTATATTATCAGACCCCTGAATTATAAACCTGGATTCCAGTATTCTAGGTGCTATATAAAAATGATAAAACAAAAATTAGATGATTATATGCAGAAGACGGATGTGAAGATAAGAATGACAAAGCACAGTCATAGAAATTTACTTCGCAGAACAATACATGAAAGCACACCTTATAGATAGGCTTTCTGGAGCACTTTGCTGTGTTAGGATTTCTTCTCCACGGCACGCTACTGACCGAAGCAGATTCTTCTGCTCTTCTAGCTCTTGTTCCAGCTCCTAGCATAGCAAATTACAAAAACCAAAACAGACCTCAAACAGATTGGTTTTGCCTTGGAAGGATATGTCTACATCGCATAACTGTTATGCAAAGATAGCTAAGCTGTTTCTGATATGGCTTGCTTGAGCACCAAAAGCAGTGCAAAATCTCCACCCAGGGACACAGAAAAATTGGGTACATAAACTGGATTGTTGAACTAATTGACTAATGCAATGCAGTTTCTGGAACGTAACCTAGTGAGGATGTCTGTGCGTCGTGCAACACAGTATACCTTGTAATGCGTGTATCTTCGCTTCTGTAAAGACAAAGCTGATTACTGTTTTGAGCAAACATAATAACTTCCTTAGAGTAACTTCAAGGGTTGATTCAATTTAATTCTACCAACGGACAATGGAAGTATAGAGTGATTAAGTGAGTTGACCATGGTCACCCAGGAAGTCTAGTCTGCCTGGCTGTTACAGATATAAAATAGTGAGCTCAGATGCATCACTACAAAAGCACTGTGTAAGAAACAATGTAAAAATGAAGATTTCAGTGGAAATATTAACGAGAAAGGCTCATCTACAGTGTTAAGCACAATCTAAAGATGGGAGTAAAAAAATGTAAACCACCAACTTTCTGTTGTCGCAGCGTGCTCTGCTGTTGCTGTGAGCGAGTGGTTCTTGCTTGTGCCAGCCATTCTTGGACACTGGGGCTTTGTGAGGAAACAAAGTCCAGATCACTCTCCTCCTTTTCTTGTAATGATCCCTGCTTTAAGAGAAGAAATAATTATTTCACAAAATCTCTTACATTGCTAGAGAGCTGGCAGGTCCAGCTAATCAACTCAAAACCACATGTAGTGCCACCTTCCACCTCTTAAGCTGCTGGCTCACATAACTTCTGAAGTGAGCAATGACTTGATTTTCTGACTTCTACTGATCATTAGTTACTAGCAAGAAAGCACCCCTAAAAATGTAAAAATAAACATGCACCACTACACTCAGCAGAAATCAAAGACCATGGACTGACGTGTTTCTGAAGACTATTCTAAAAAACAGCACTGATCTGTAATGGAGGATGCAGGTTTAACTGGCAATGCACGGAATCAGTGGGCTGTTTCTGCCAGGTTTTTAGTCTAATTAAAGCCAATTTTTTTCCTAACTAAAAATGAGAGAATGCTGCTTATCATTCTGGTCAAAATTTATTTATCAATAAATACATAACTCGATCCATAGTTGCCAGAAACACAGTCAGTTAACAGCAGATTATATGACATGAACAGTGCAGACAGCAAGAGAGACCAAACCACAGAATGATAGAACAGAACAGCAAAAGCAACAGTTCCTTCACTTCATACTTCTATCACTACGTTTTTCCAAAATCAGTGATTAGACAGGCTTTCTGTGTAAGCAAAGCAAAAAAGAGCAAATGCCTTAATAGTTCCAAAAACAGCTTTATCAACTTCTTGACTTCTTAAATTCATGTTGGCTGCAAATTTAAATTATTTTAGCAGCCAATGTATTCAAATGTAGGGCCAATGCTAACGACAGACTCGTAGGTCTGGCTGCTTGCATCTACACACCTCTCTAGATCTATTTAGTATTACTTGCAGGCACACAATGACTGCAGGGTTTGTGCAGTTTGTTTGTGCTTTATTTAAAGCTTCAAGAGCTAAAGCTGGGGCTTATTCCTCTCCCATTTTGTCTATAGATCTCATTTTTGTAGGATTCATATTTTGCCCATGATTCAGCTCTTATTCTAAATACAGTAAGAGTGCCAAATGGTTCAGACATTACAGTAGGCTCTCCAAAACCAAAAGACATTCCACCTTCCAGAGAGCCTTTGTTTCAAATCAGGCAGGGATGAGAAGGGCCAAAAGTGCCTGAGGAAACTGCTCTTACCTCACCTGGTGCTGCTTATACTAACAACTGGGGTGGACTTCTGCCACCAGTATCCCTGGCACCAGGCACTGAAACAGCAGAGTTTTGCTAAATAGTAGAAGTTAGGTGTAAGATTTCAATTTTGGGGGATGATGGGTATACTGGAGTTGAAAGGACTGATTAGTGTTTCAGGATATTAACTATAAGAGGAGCAAAACAAGCAAGCAGGTAGGTAGAACTGGAAAAAACATCAGCCCTTGCTGTATGAGATAGCTTTGTTTCACTAAGGATTCAGTTTGCAGTTAAACTGTGATACTTTACTTTGTAGTAAAAAGTAAAACCTGATCTGAACGATGTCATTATACAATATCAGATTAAGCAAAAAAATATTTTTGAGGGATAAAGAGGGTCTGGAATTTTAGTTTCTCTATTAAAAATGAGAAAAAAAAAATCTTTCTGTTAATTGTAAAATGAAAAAAAAAGTCTGCTTCATTTCATATGCTCTAGGGACAATAGCTTTTCAACCTGTAAATTCCTTTAGAGAACAGTACCTAGTTCTTCATCACATTTGGGCAAGCTGATTGATTTCAATTAGATTTTGAGTCTCCTCTTCTCTGGGAAGAGATTTGAGAAGCTACAATTCTGGAATCAAGCTAAGACAAATAGATAGTAGTTCCACAGTTCCTGCAATATCAAAGAATGTAAAAAAGGGATTGTGGCATTTGTGGATGTAATGAGGTTTTGCAACTATGCTATTGTGCACAATTTTTAGATTAAAATTATTTGTGAACCAGATTTCATCATTCCCAAATCACAGAATATGAAAAAAACCACTTGCATTATCATTTGAATTCTGTCTGAAGGAATTGTATTACATTTCCTTTAGATAACCAGGGAAAGAAATGCCTGAAGCTCTCATTCCTGGGGGCTATCCACTCCAGCACAGAAATAACTGGAAAATCCCTGAAGAAAATGGTGATAAAATTGATCTTTCAAGGGAGTTTAGAATTGTACAAACTTATATCAGGCATATTTGTCTTGTGGAACTGAAGTCGCCCCTCCCCCACATACACTGTAATAAAAAGTAAAGAAACTGTATCTGGTTTATTTACTGCAGAATTCATTCTACTTCTTCATTTCGTAAGTAGTCTATTTATTTTTATTGCCCCTAAGACACAGAACTTAGTAGATAACAGTAGTAAGGTGATGTTTTGTATATCTTTCAAAGTGCTTGAAAAATGTTACATTTGGAATCAATGCAGTCTGGAACTCTCCTGAGCCAGCATGTTTCTGATTAGTTTCACTGCTTTATTTTATGAATAAAGGAGCTGGTCTCCAAATCACTTTTTCCATATCATTAGTGACTGAAATTGCTGCAAGGAAGTCACAGAATCTCACACTGGCTCCTAAAAAGCCTTGTGCCACAGAAATAACAGATATGCTGAAATACTGCTTTAATGAAAATATAGCTCGGTCTTTACAATGCTTTCAGTCTTGCAGTGCAAGTTGGAAGGATCCTTCCTTTTCTGAGTGCAGGCTGGTCTATGCCTCTGGACAATTATAAGGTTACCCTACCTCTAGAGACGTGTATAAGTCTGAGTTTCTTACATGCATAAGCAACAGAGCTGTTAGCAAGTAATCTTTCCTAGGGTTAATAATGGCAGCAGATAGAGTTAGGGCATTTTCGGGCATCTGATGCCCTAAACCTCAGTCCATAAAAACTACTTTATGACTGTTTGGAAAAAGACATTATAGAATTTCTCATTTGAGAAAAAATGCTCAGTGAAAATTTGAAGATGTTATACTGCCTATGCCTATTTTCTTCCATGATCCATAGGTGAAGTCCAAAAAAGGCTTGCAATTCATAAAGAAACTTAAGTCTTGCATGCACGTAGCATCTTAAATGATTCATATTCTATGTCTGGAAATTATTTTCTTGTTATTTTCAATATTAGAAAAGCATCCAAAAATCTGTTTGAAAAGTTTACTTAAACTAAGTCACATCACTGTATTTTAAAATGCAGCACATTTTAAAATGCAGCATGCATATTTTAAAATCAAGCAAAAAAGTCTGTAATGCCTTTTCACTTCACAAGTAATGAATATATCAGAATACAGCATTATATGCCTACATGCTGGTCATAATATCTTTCATTTGCCTAATCATGAGGCTTAATATGCAAGAATAACATTAAAGTTACTTCATCTTAGAGGCAATGGGAATAAATACCTGGTTTTTTCCTTCCTTTTTTTTTTGTGTTTGTTTGTTGGGTTTTTTTGGTGAAGCTATATTAAGTTTTATAGTTATCCAGTTGCTTTGGACTAAAAATAGTTCTTAGCATGTCAAGTGACTTTTCAAGCTAACCTCTCAGTAGACTTTAATCTGCATTACAAGCTAGAAATCTTTGAAGCTTATCACGTTTAATTTGCACAGCAAAGCCCAGAAAAGAAGTAAAAGAAAAGTGGGGGAGGGAGTCACAGCAGGGCAAGCAAATTCAAAACCAGTCAGTCACATTACATGGTTGGGTTTCTTGTATGTATTCGTCTCTCCACATGCTAGTTTAGCCTAAAGAATGACCAAAACCAACTGTTAAATAAAAGGAACTAGTGGCAGTAAGCAAAACAATGCTGCTAGGAGTAGAAGCCTAGGACAAGACTGAGGTTAAATCTATCTGTGTTCACATAATATTTTGTTTGGTGTAATGACGCCACTAACTATTAGCCATATTAAAAATGTTTCACTATCTTGATGTTATCTGTTGCATTGTGCATGCTGTATCAAGGAAAGCATACATTTAGGATTGTTCCTTTGTTGGGGAAGGGATCCTGCCCCAGAGCACATGCAGTCTAAAGGGACTGGGAACAGGAATAGAGTATATGCAGATCAAGCTAATCATCTATCTACTTTATTATTGTCCTTTCAGTGAAGATAGTGAGGTTAGGATAGTTTCACCATGAAGTGGTGGTGTTAACTTGAAAATTATAAGCTAAAGCTTGCTGGGCAGCTCTTTATTTTGGAGTGTAATTCCATTTACTAGCTAAAGATGAATAGCTCAAACTAAACGAGTAAAATACTTTTGCTCCTTTCCCCAGTTGCATAAAATTCCTATGAAGTCACCCAACCTCCTGCCCACCGTGAAGCCAGTTGGAAAGAGCCACTCACCCGAATGTTGATCTGTTTGTCGTGGAGCACTCTCTGCAGCTCCAGAAGGCTGCCCTTCAGCGTCCTGAGCTTCACAGCCAGCTGCTCTGCCTCGTCCTTGGTGTGAGCCTTCCCCTCCATAAGCAAGTTCTCGTTGTGCACAGACAACTCTGACAACGCCACCACCTTCTGCTCTATTTCAACCAGCATGTTCTGCAGCAGCAAAAACAAAGAACCAAATTCATACATTTTCCAGCATCTGTCACGCTTTCTGGCAAGACGACCTGTGGCCTACCTCACCCGTTGCCAAGCTAAGGGCAAGTCAGGTTACCATTGCTTTGCCTTCCAGTCCCTTTCAGAGTCCTTAGGAATATGCTTGCAAATGTCTGCACTTGCCATTTCTGTTCGCAATCTTTTTCAAAACAGGAAATTAAAAAGTTATTTGAAACAAAGGATTTGTTGTAGAGGAGATGCTCTTTATTTGCACATTAAAGGTAAGGGTGTCTAAGATGCTAGACTGACATCCATAATGACAAGAATCAGAGCACGCAGCTAGAGTTACTTCTTTCCTCTTCTTTCATGTACATTTAGTGAAATGCTTCCTACCTCCTCCTATGTGTTGCTCTGGCTGCGTTGATAAGCTTCTCTTCTCACTATTTGCTCTTTCTGATTGGAGCATGATGGACTTAAGGATTTCTCTATAATCCTCTTTAGTCTAAAAAGAGACTTAAAGTGACAAATCTCTGGCATGTTTATTCTCAAAAGCTACTTTCCTGACATTCTATTAACCATTCACGTATTACAGACATAGTGCATATTTTGATCTTCCAAACTCAAAGGTCATACAATTCTTGCTCAAAAACCTAGCCTGACATCCAATGGTTTTGTTTCCATGGCAACTGTCAAGTATAAAGTTAGAAATATTTCTCCTGAAGGCACGTGTGCAGGATAAGATGGGTAGAGACTCTAAAAAGTGGAGAAAATACAGGACTTTATATAAATTTACTCTATTAAGATTTTAAGAATGAGCAAAAGAACAGCAGTATTAACTTTTCCACAAAGTTAACTGTTCTTTTTAATTTTGAGTTTCCTACAGATGGTATTAAAAAAAAAAAAAATTTACTGCTTTGTTTAAGTTCACAGGGTTTATCTATGTACAACAAACAGCTCCCAAGGACGGATGACGAAAGAACACTTGAGATTGAGCAGACTGAAAATTCCAATAATGAAGCGGTGTCGGTGGAAATTTAACTAGATGTTTAATTTATTGTACTTATATGAAACTTAACTCCCATTTATCGTAAAACAGTCAAGACCCTAATTCTTTAATATGAAAAGGATCTTTTGTCCATCTGTCTCTTGTCTATCTTGTAATTTTATTTATAATGATCACACAGCTTTAAACTCTCATTTAAAAATGGAAAACTTCCACTAATTTGAGAACCTGGATGCTATGACTGATCCAAGTCCCATTAATAAAAGTATATGCAATTACTCCTATTGCAGCAAAATGTTTTTCCTCAGTTGTTTTGGTATTCTGGGTTGATTAATATTAAATTAATAAAAAGAGCAACTACTGATGATTATACTTTACTGTTGAATGTGGGTAGGGATTACTCCTGAAGAAAACACAACACTGTTCCAGTCACCACTGCTAGTGTGAGTGTGTTCTTCAGCTGGAAAAGGAACAGTAGGAAAGTACACTGCAGGTGTTTTCATACCTATCAAGCGAGCTGTTCAACGACTCTAGCTTGAATGGAGCAAAAGCAGTGAGTGAAGCGAATACAAGGCCTTTAAAGCAAAACAAAATGCCCTCCAAAAGTAGTAGACCTTCAAATGTTCTTGCAGACAGGCTATCTTGCTTTCCTACTGTTATATTTACAGGCACTTTCTAAAGCACTGTTTACAATCTTTTAATACGAAATGAAGACAGGCTATCTTTTACCTCACAAGTCATTGATTAAGCTAACTGAGCACATATGAGGTGTTAAGGAGCTCAGAAACTTCTTCCACACAAATATGCTGGGTCATCCCACTCAATAATAGTCTTAACATTAATGCTCCATATTTGCCTCTTCATCCAGATAAAGTTATGTCCATCCTGTTCATCTAAACATTACTGGACTGATAATTTTACCTGACAGTCTACCAGCTGTGCTTCCATGTCCATAGGTTCCTCAGCAGTAACCAGAGTGGTGTCCAGTGTTGCTCGGGTATTGAGTAGCCAGTGGTCAAGCTCATCAGCTTCACAACGGTACCTCTGAAGTGCCTGCTCTTGCCGTTGTTCTTCCAGCTGCTCGTTCAGTTTTTCCTACAGGTACAAATTCTGTTTTACTTTTCAAAAGAAATACACCACAACAGTCACTTTAAAAAAAATCCCCTCTCTTTTTTAAGCCATAATAAGCCCTTTCTTTCTTCAGTTGGAAACCTTTACAAAATATTATTGCTTTCAATCGATAAGCATGCTTTTCCGGGGACTGAAATTCTGCTTCAGTTCAGTCACTGTATCTCTGCTTCCTTCAGTAGAGCACTGCTATTACAGCCCTCTAAAAGTAAGGTCTTTTTTGCCTCCTGCTGCTGCTCTGCTCTGGGTTTCCCCCCACATTGATTCAGTTTGCTCAACTAGCACAGCACTCTTTGCTTAGGGAGAAAGATACATGGGGGCACAGAGCTGGGAGTGAGTTGCAAGGAAGGACAGCAGCTTCGCTTTTTTGGCAGCAGCAGGCTGTCAGTCTTATTGTCTCTCAAGAGAGGCATGAGAGGGATACTTCAAGGACCCAACAGAGTACTGGTAGGCCTTTGGTGTAGCCACCATGAGTTAAGAGAAGGATGAAGAGCTGTCTACCTTGTCTGGCCTCTCTGAGGATTCCTGTGCCATGGGGTGTGGAAGGACATTAAGCTCCAATGGCTGCTGCGGCAACAGCATCGCAGCAACACAGACTCCCTGGCTCCATCCATCAGCTGGTCCATCCATTGGACAGACAGAGAATGATGAGCAAGACTCACTCATCCTTTAATAGTCCCATATGAATTTGAAAACTGGCTGAACACTGGGCCCCAAGGGTTGTGATCAGCAAAGTCTAGTGAAAGGCCAGTAAGGAGCCTCAGCAAGTTTACTGATGACACAAAATAGGAGGAGTGTCTGATACACCAGAGAGTTCTGCTGCCATAAGTGGATCCTGACAGGCTGAAGAAATGGCCTGACAGAAACCTCATGAAGTTGAACAAAGGGAAGTGCAAAGTCCTGCATCTGGGGAGGAACAATCCCAGGCACTAGCACATGCTGGAGGCCAACTAGCTGGGAAGCAGCTTGGCAGAAAAGGACCTGTGGGTCCTGGTGGACACCAAGCTGAACATGAGCCAGCAATGGGCCCTTGTGGCAAAGGTGGCCAACGGAATCCTGGGCTGCATTAGGAGAACTGTTGCCAGCAGGCTGAGGGAGGTGATCCTTCCCTTCTACTTAATGATGTGATGAGTCCACACCTGGACTACAGTGTTCAAGTTCGGGGCTCCCCAGTGCAAGAGAGATACAGAGCTCTGGAAAGAGTAGAGGGGATTTCGGGAATAAGAAACAGAATGGGATGGTCAGAGGATACTTAGATGTATCAGATAATGTGCATCATAAGCACAATGTAAATGGTATGGAACAAGGGGAGAAGATTGTACTAGATCCGTCTGGGACGGAGTTAACTTCATTGCAGACTGTATGGTACTGTGCTTTGCAAGTGTGGCTAAAGCTGTGCTGGTAACAGCAGTGATTTGGCTGTTGCTGAACAGAGCTTGCACAGCACTAAGGCTTTCTTTCCAACTGCCCCTCACAAAGGCCAGTAGGCTGGGGGTGGGCAAAATGTTGGGAGGGCACATAGACAGGACAGCTGACCTGAATTGATCAAAGGGATATTCCATACCATATGAGATCATGCTCAGCAACAAAATCTCAGGGGAAAGATGGTGGTGGGGGTGGTGGCTACCTTATTAAGCTGTCATTATCTCAGTCCATGAGTCTTTTTGCCTGCCTTTTATTTTTTCCCCATCCCAAGGGAAGGGGAAGTGAGGTGGGTGCTTGGCTGTTGGCCAGGGTCAAGTTACCATGCTTCTGTAAGGAATTTTAGACCTGTACATGCAGGACAAATCCCTCACACAGGGAAGCGATTGCACAGCTTTTCTGAATACTTAATTTGAATGGGAAAATTAATAATTGCATGTTAGATTAATTTAAAGAATAATTATAGCTGTTAAATGTGTCAAATAATCCAGAGCTGAACAGTTCTCAAGCTCTAGTAATTTAAATTAGGTCAACAGAAAGAATAATACTACCAGTCCACACCCTCAACAGCAAAACTTTTTCATTAACTCTTTTATCTGTATTTCTACAGTTATATCCCTGCAGTGTTCTGGAAGATTTTATCTGGTGAAATCAGAGCTATAAAGTGCACAGGTTAAATTAGTGAATATTGTCTACAAGCCATACATACTTCTTAGCCAGGATTATTGGGCAATACTTGTGCTATTGTATAAAAGTAACTGTCAGAATCCTAACCATAGCTAAGAGTATATATTTGACTCATGCTTTATCTTGAAATTAATAGTTAGCATCTCCTCCTAAGTACTATCAAGAAGTTTGTAAAAACCTCTATGGGGTGCAAGCTATAAACAGTAAGATCCCTATTCTACTTCCAGCCCCTTATTTTTACATAAAAGCCATTTTTCTTCCGAGAAGGAAGAACTGCAATTTTTTAAAGAATAACAAAGATATTTTCTGAGTCTCAGGTGACTGCACAGAACTAATGCAGCTGATGCACCCTGGGAATCCTCTGTAACCCAGATAGATCCACAGAGCTAATTCTCAGTCTCCCAGAAACGATTGATGCTGGAAATTGCTTTGTTGCAGTTGCTGTGTTTGTGAATTTGCTGCTGCAGTTCTTAGCAGTACAGCAGTAAAGCTGCCCTGCAGTGTTCAAAGTAGCCAAACTGCAGCCAGCTTTAGCATGACTGCATTTTCTCACCTGTATAATGTATGTAGCAACATTCCTGTATGTAAAGGACTTTTTAAAAATCATAGTAATAAAGGATTTGTGATAAAGCTGGTAGACAAAGAAATAAAGGCATGCATCTTCCATGATAAAAGTTTGCATGCAAAACACTGGGAAGATGAGCATAGGCAACAATGCAACGCTTTGGAAGAGGTGTTATTTCTTGTTTTAAGCTCTCCCACTTCTCTCGTCTCCCCGTTTGGACAGGTGACTCCTGAAATGTCTACTGTAGATCACATGACTTTTAATACCTGCACTTCATTACTTCTCCTGTGGAGGACATGGAATACCAAGGGAACCTATTGAGAAAAATCTCAATTTGTATATTAAAAAAAACGAATTGATACAAATATAAACTATGACTCCTGCAGTGTGTTTCCAAGTTCCTTCTGGTTCCTTATCAACTACCATTCACATGATGGGCTCGCTAAAAAAGAACAAGAACTGATTAGTGAAAGGAATTGTAAGAAATGAACAGAACTGAAAATGACTTTTTTAATTATCGGCATTCAAACGTGACTAAGGACTTTGGTAAAAGTACAGGTCTGCCAAAAGTTGCTCTCAAAATCTGAAATGTGATACAAAAGACTCCATCCTAGAGGATTTTTTCTTGTACCTCTAATAGTTGTCGTTTTCCTGATGCCTTCATTCGAATCGTGGCCATTCGTTCTGCCAAGACTGTGAGAGTGGACTGCAATGCCAGCTGATCAGCAGCTTCTGCATCCAGTGGTTCTGAAACCAGCTCCTGGGCTAATGACGTCTGAAGCTCAGTGATTTCTTCTTGTAACATTAAAATCTCATCCATCAAAGCCTATTTAGAAAAGAGAGCAGAGAAAGTATTTGCTTCATTTATCAGTGAGAAGAGAGTATCTCAGGAGGCATAGGTTTAATATAAAATTCAAGATGACTGTCCCAAGCCAGCATGAGGAACACAAAGTAGTGCAATATATCACTGCTGGTTTTGTAGAGTCAGAATCCAGAAGGACTGAGCCCTGCTTTTAGATGCTTAAACTAGGATCACACCCCTCATAACTGAAATACGGATTTAATTACTTATCTTGAATTTCAAACGTATCACAAGAAGGAATTATTTTGGAAATCTTAGACATACAGATTTATTCTTCCAACAAATTTTCCCATAGAGCATTCTAGTAGATGCAGTGAAGATAATGAACAAGTAAGTGAGTGTGTGTTTGTGAGAGAGAAACAGGGGCACAAGTTGCCTTCCAGCCTGAAACTTACTAACTGGACAAAGAACATCCAGCAATACATGTAAACAGCCAGAGATTAAAAGAGGTTCCTACTATCATCCTTACCGTATAAATCAGTTTCTAAGATACCTACCAAAGAATGCTGCATTACCAACACCTTAGAGCAGATACTTTACTTTCACATCTGACAGCATACATACATTGGAAACACAAGACATCACACAGTGCTAGAAAAGCCAAGTGTTACCCTTTTCAGGTCACAGCGTTCCTACGGTTCTCTACAAAATGAGAACTGGCCCCACCAGATAGTTTCAAGCTATCAGATAGAAGGCTTAGATGATTACAACTTGGACATACGTCAGATTGGTTACCTCATAGAGTATTCTCTTATTATTCAGAGCATCATTTCTCAAGACTTCCCTTGGAAAGGAATTTCTTGTGTGCTTTAGTTTGTTTCTTTTGTTTAACGAGGCAAAGATTATATTTAGATCAGTTTACATTGCATCGGTATTGGTAATGATCTTAGTAAATTTGGGAACATTGTAAACAGTCCGATACATGCTAGTAGCACCGGTGCTAAGAACAGTGCAGTGTCACTGAACACAATCTTTGACAAAAGATTTTGCTGCAAATTTCGATTGGACAAACTCTTATCATCAATTCTACTTTTTCAAAAGGCTTCTTATTAAAAGAATCCCCGTTACACCATGTTTAGAATAGCAGGAAGTCCAACAAGGCAAAACACACAGTTAACAGAGAACGTTCACAAAACTAATGCATGTTTTCGAGGCATCCAGCCATGAAGAATGCTACCATCTAAAGAAAGGGAACTAAAGAAATACAGGTAATGCATGCTCTACCTCTACTTCTCACATGTAAGTTTTTACCTGATGTTCAGCCATCTGGCTCTCTGGGCTTTTGGCTGGTTCCAGACTCTCATTTAGTTTGATCTCAATGCTCTCCATTTTTGTGGATATAGACTGGAGTGTGTCCTGATATTTCTGTTGCCGCTCAAGAGCTTCATAGAGGGTGCGCTGCTTTTCACTGATCTGAAGAGGAACGGAAGGTATAAATTCTGACCTCTGATACAGGATTTGCTTTTTCTTTTGCTTCATACATCCCTAGGCTTACAAGACTAAAGTGAAAAACTCAACAAAAATTTTTCAAAAGTATAAATTATAAAACATCCATATTAAAAATACTTATATGATTAAACATCATCAGTCAAATTCTAGGTTCTGTGACTGAAAAAAAGTGGACTTTAATAAGCAGGGAAAACCTAGGCACATTCCCATTCCTTATTTTAGATTTTATGCACTCAAACATGTGGATGTACACTATCTGCTAGATGCATAGTTCTTAATACCCCATAATAGCTACTCTGCCTCTGCAAAGAATTAAAATTTATAGTATGTGAACAGAATCTTGACCATTTTCATACATCACTGAATGATTATGCTGCACTACTATGCAGAAATATGTTATGTTGACTCAGTATTTGGAGAAACTGGATTCTTGGGCCTTTATTGCCAGCTCATCCAGCATGACTGGATTTCCCTGTTGAGTTATGGAATATAGTCTGAGAACAGGCAATATTTCTGAAGGCAACTATCAGCCTTAGTGACTTTTATTTTTTCTTAATGGAGGTCCATCCTGAACAGGCTTTCAAACAAAGAACAAAGATAATAAATATCACAACTAACCGTTCTTGTTACCATCTGAAAACCAAGAACTGCAGAGAATATTATCTGAGCCAGTTCTCTGCATTTTATTCCTTACAAGCCAGTTGACTATTTTGAACCCTCCAGATGAAGACTTACCACATTTTTCAGTGTTTCCCAAGAACGCTGCAAATCGTCCAATTTGGCACTAGCAGCTGATTCTAAGCCTGGTTCATAAAACTCCTGGGCGGCTGAAGTGCTAGGTTGAATTTTAGCAGCTTCTGTCTGCAACTGTTCAGCAGATAAGGCTTGGTAATAAGCAATGTCCTACAAGCACGAAGCACATTATTGCACTTTTAAAACGAAAGATACTCCATAATATCCCCCCACCTACTGCCCCATCGCATATGTTCATTAAAATAGAACCCACAAAGCCAGAACCACCAGGAAACTTCTGAGCAACACAATAAATATATATTTCACAGTAGTACCCTGAGTATGGTTTGGAGCTTCACTATGATGAAGATTGTGGATGCATTTTTTTCATGTTCATGTTAGCTAGGAGGCAACTGTGGACAGACACGGGAAGGCTACGAGTGGAAAGCTACAAGTGGGAGCGTTCTAGCATCATCAAACTGCACATGGGGAAAACCCATCACAACAGACAGTGGGTTATGGTACTGTAGTGGCAAAGACGCCTAAAGAACACTAGCTCATAGAAGGGATCAGAAGAACCAAAAAGGAATACGCTGAATGACTAGTCAATGGTGTAAGAAAGAATATGAAGCACTAGCTTATAGTAAGTCTTCAAACAAACATTCTTCAAACAGTCACTCTCATCTAACTTATAAAAGATAGTGGGAAAAGGGATCAAAAGTACTAAGGAAAATGGGCAAATGTTTGAATTACCATTGAAAATTCAGGGTGGAACTTTTTCTCACCAGAACTTCTATACTTTACTTATGGGGATTTCTTCAACTATTGCAGGTGACAGTTAAAAAGATCTACAGAAAATGTAACATTAAGGAAACATGCACAGTATCTATATTTAAGTCAAGAAAGCAGACTTGATGACAAGGATTATTTAAAGCTGAAACCATGTATGACGGCTACAACCACATCTATTTGCAAGGTGAAAATGCTGCAATCTTCCTTTTTCTCACTTAGTAGTCCCACTTAGTGAACTATGCTCCAGACCATGCAACACAGCAGCAGTTGTTCATTTTCCTCAATCATTTTTAATATGTAAATGCCCCTGGTGAAAACTTCAAGACACAGTTTTGCTAACCAGTGAAATCAGTAAGAGATTTCCCACTGATTTCTGTTAGGCTAGACCAAACCTCCTTCCAGGCAGCTCTCAGAGTTATCACAATATTTGCATTAAAAGTTGCTCAAAATCTACTGAAATACATACTTGGAAAATCTGCCTCCAATGCTTGCAAATTTCTCAAATTTCTTATTTCCTGACCCTGTGTATGATGGGGAGGAAAATTCAGCATGTTGAGCCATGTGACTGAGTTTTAAGTGCCTTTCACTTGGCAGCTTACAGAGCTGTGTCTACCAAACAGGCTACAGACAATTTGTACCGCAAATGTAAGACTATAAATGTGTATAAATACAAATTCCCAAAGAGTTGTGGTGAATGGAGATAAATCCATTTGACAGGTGGTCACAAGTGGTGTTCCCCAAGGCTCACTATTGCAGCAAGTTCTCATTAGCATCTTTATCAATGGTCTGGATGAGGGGATTGAGTGCTCCCTCAGTAAGTTTGTGGATGACACCAAGTTGGGCAGGAGTGTTGATGTGCTCAAGGGTAGGAAAGCTCTGCAGAGGGATCTGGACAGGCTGGATCAATGGGCTGAGGCCAGTTGTATGAGGTTGAACAAAGCCAAGTGCTGGGTCCTGCACCTTGGGTCACAACAACCCCACACAGTGCCAAAGGCTTGGGGATGAGTGGCTGGAAAGCTGCCCAGCGGAAAAGGACCTGGGGGTGCTGGTCGACCCCCGGCTGAACATGAGCCAGCAGTGTGCCCAGGTGGCCAAGAAGGCCAACAGCATCCTGGTCTGTATCAAAAATAGTTTGGCCAGCAGGAGTAGGGAGGTGATCATGCCCCTGTACTCGGCACTGGTGAGGCCGCACCTCGAATACTGGGTGCAGTTTTGGGCCCCTCACTACAAGAAGGACATTGAGGTGCTGGAGCGTGTCCAGAGAAGGGTAACGAAGCTGGTGAAGGGTCTGGAGAATAGGTCTTGTGAGGAGCGGCTGAGGGAGCTGGGGTTGTTTATTGTGAAGAAGAGGAGGCTGAGGGGAGACCTTATCGCTCTCTACAGCTACCCGAAAGGAGGTTGTAGTGAGGTCAGTCTCTTCTCCCAAGTAACAAGCGATAGGACAAGAGGAAATAGCCTGAAGTTGCACCAGTGGAAGTTTAGATTGGACATTAGGAAAAACTTCCTTATCGAAAGGGCTGTTAAGCATTGGAATAGGCTGCCCAGGGAAGTGGTGGATTCATCATTCCTGGAGGTATTTAAAGAGGTGTTGACATGGTGCTTAGGGACATGGTTTAGTTGTGGGCTTGGCAGTGTTAGGTTAATGGTTGGACTCACGGTCTTAAAGGTCCCTTACAATCAAAATGATTGTACGACTGTATTCTAATCCTGAAGGGAGGGTGGAAAGAAGACAGAGTTGGCCTCTTTTCAGTGGTGCCCAGTGACAGGACAAGGGGCAATGGGCACAAACTGAAACACTGGAGGTTCCCTCTGAACAGCAGGAAGGACTTTTTAACTGTGAGGGTGATTGAACACTGGGATGGGTTGCTCAGAGAAGTTGTGGAGTCTCCACCCTTAGAGATACTCAAAAGCAACCTGGATATAGTCCTGGACAAACTGCTGTATGTGGCCCAGTCTGAGGAAGGGAGTTGGACCAGATAACCTCCAGAGTTCCCTTCCAGCTTCAAGCATTCTGTGATTCTGTATAGGTGTATATAAGTTAGGTATTAAACAAGACTAATTCTGAGGTACTAGAGCACAGAGTATAATTAGGATCCTAATTTGGAGCAGAATCTTTATTTCCCAATGTCATTTAAGTAATAACTAATACTGTATGTGAACAAAATCAAACAAACTCTGGAAGAGCATAGAAACCAGGTCACTTGCATCAGACTGTCCAAAAGTGTCAGATGAGGTACTTCTTCAAAGGCAGTAACTGGGAAACTTGAAAAATTTAGTGAAGAAAGTGTTTTCAATGTCCAGGAGTCAACCAGGAATAGCTAACAGCTTAGCACAGCACTCAGTACTGCAATTTCAGGTTTTTTTTTTACTCTGACCACAAGTTATCTTTCCAAGTCATGGTGAAAAATTGCACCAGTGCAGGCAACTTCTCATTTTGCCTTGTCTGCAGCTACTCTCCAGCCCTTAGCTAGTCCTCTCTCAAGGCCAATAGAAAAGCCACGTTTCCGAGACTTCTTAATCATTGTTTCCACAATAAAGGGCTTGCTTTTATAGAGAGGAAAAAGCAATTCCTTTCCTCATCTTTTCAACTACTTTCTGGAGTATTATACAACATGGCAGTTTCTTTTTGGCAGAGTTTTCACAGGATGGTTGTGTGAATACAGATGTTCTTACAAGTAACAGATTGTGTTGCCCCTATACAGACCTTACAAAAATTAGATAATGAAGAGTATTCAAGCTTTGGTGTTAGGATGTAGGAGCAAAGGGTATATTTAGATTTCAAAACATATTTAACAACGGCTGTTGCACCCTAGATGAGTTTTCATAAGGGAAGGAGAAAAAACGATTAAGTAGGCTGTGTATAAGGACATTTAACAGTGACCCAGTGCTGAAGACTTAAATCACAGGATCAGCTGCGGCCTCCAAGGCTTTGTGCCAACACTTCAGTTTTTTCAACTGAATTTCTCTGCATTGTGCATCTGGAAAATGAGTTTTAAAAAATGTACTAAATTTTAATCAACTATATCTTTGGGTAAGTGTGAGAAGTTTTAGCCCCAAAGGATTCTCATTCAGTACTGCAGCACAGATGAAGTGTCTGATTTTGCTATACATCAAAATAAACTGCACAGAAGGACTGTTATCTATTGCCAAAGTATCATATACTGTGAAACTCCCCAGACTTTTCAAAGTTAACATTTTATACCCCCCGCATTATTTCTAGAGAAGTTTCAGTACAAAACAAACAACCTGTGCAACTGTTAACCTACAACAGTATTAGATCTGTCACTTTCTTATATTTATGGTCTTGTTTTAATCTATTTCAATATGTAGAACCAGTATTTCCACTAATATGCACTTGGCACTTGTTTTATATTTTCATTACTTGTCAGCAATGTAAAAATAGTGCATAGATGTCTGAATTCAGACTAGCTACTTGTCACCATTAAAAGAAAGACTGTACAGCGATTATTAGGCATGAATTTAAAAACAGTCTTAACACCCAATCTTCCCCTCCGCAACCCCCACTTCATAAGGACTCCAAAAGACTAAATTAATGTAATTCTTTACTTTCTACAGTTCCTGTTCACATGTTTTTCTGGCACTTTGCAGGTGTTCTTCCAATCAGAAAGTATTTCTCTTAATACTGGCTACCTTTTAAAACAAAACATTTCCAAATTAGTTTCGCTGTCTTACTGAATACAAAATATTTTTAATTTACATTTAAGCTCCTAATTCACTAATCTCTAGAACTTTTTTTTTAACCAACCTTCTTTCCTGAAGTCTCCCTGGGCATTCATCATGATCAGCACTGGCAGTTTCATAGCTTCTTTAGTTTTAATCTCATGTGAGTGTGAACCTAAGCATTTTGTAAGTAAACCACTGCATTTTGGAATGTTCTTCCGCTTATTGTTTAGTACGTGCAGTTCATTTCAACATTAACCACAGTGAAGAAACCTTCATGTGTAAGTTTCTTAGATTATTTTAACACTATGGATTTTATCTCTTCCAAAGATCTTCTGCTAATCAGAAGACATCACCTTTTTATTCCATGTTGCCCTAGTAAATCACAGGTTCCAAAACTTGCATTTTGGTGTCAGCTCACAGTGCAATGGCATCTTCATTGGGTTTTCCTTATTATTTGAGCTACTGGAGCTGTTAGCCTGGTTTTACATTTTGAAAGAAATGTAACAAATGGACATTGGCTTTGTCTATTAGGAAGCAAGCTGCTCTTTGTCCTTTAACTCTCACTGATTAATGTTGTTGTAAGATTTTTGTGCTGAAACATATAGCTGCCTTCCTACTGTAAGCTTTACTGGGAAATTTCCAATTTTCTGAAATGAGAGAACACTAGGAAAATCCTTCTCATTCATTATATAACTTTTTTTATTATGCTGTTGAACATTTTGTCACCATTCTAACTATCTTACCTTAGTATTCTTTCTTATGTCAGTTCATGAAAACAAATCATTTATGTTTAGCAACTTCTATAGCACCATACGCACCTTTGAAATTAGAGGAAGAAATCAATGGGCATGTTGCTCAAACTTCTCTAATTCTACAGCAACAGCACACTCTACCCTTTAAGTCTGCAGCGGTCAATTTTGAAAGCAGTCACAAATGCAAAACCAACCGAACAACCACAAAACCCACAACATGATGAATTCAGTAATGGGGTGACTACTCCTAAGGCTCATTTCTAAACTTTTAAAGCTTAAGATTTTATGTGTGCCTTCATGTGCGTGATGCTCAACATGCAGGTTCATTGCTCACATTCTAGTCAATGCTGATGTATACTTGTTCCTATTAGAAGTGCGAGAGCCCTCAGTTTTGATTTAAAATCTAACTTCAGTGATTTCAATGATCTGCCTCATCAGCACTTAAGAAAGACTGTCACAGAAAGTATGGAATAAACAATACATGAAAAAAACCAAAACATGACAGTTAATACTTGAAATGGTATTAAGTAGAAGATACCAGACTGTGACTTCAATGCTACGATGCCAGTGGTACAGTAAGATAGATGTGTATGGTGATATTACAATGGTTTATTATGGGAAGTACAAAATTGCATTTTTTCTCAGGATGCAAGATTCCATTGAGTACTACTGAAAAAATGAACATTAGGTTATAAATAGAAAATAGTAGTGACGTAGAAGAGCTTTGTAAATGTCACTTAAAATTTATTTTTAAAAATAGTGAATAGCTGTAACACCAGGTTTACACATTTTAAACTCAGAAGTCAATATCTGTATCCATTTTGAACTAGAACTTGAAGGTTCAGTTAGGTTAGAGGTTAAGCCTCAGTTCCTCAGAGCTATAGGCAAATAGTATTTCAGAGGATTACATAAACCACCTGTGGAATGGAACCACGCATATCTGAGGTAAAAGCTCAATGAATGCCAGAGGGAGGTACCTGGTTAACAGAAGCATCTGTATTAGCCACAGGTGAGGGAGAGCGACAGGCAGGTGGAGAAGAAATCTCACTGTTGGTTCCCTCCTCCCCAGACTCTTCAGTGACAGGGGAGAGCAGCGTGTGACAGCGACCAGCAGTCATCTGCCACAGGAAAAGCAACCCCAGAGCACAGGGAGAAAATCAGTTACCTCAACTTAGGTTTGACATAGACTGAGATCAAAGCAAGAAAAACAACACATGGCCAGAATTACCATGACATTATTTGGTCATACTTCATGCTCCTACATTTACCAGTTTAAAAATCTGGTCGAATGAATAGTCTCATTTACTTGTCACACTTCAGTATGGTGATGCTCTCCTGTACCCTAATGAATTTAAAAGAAAATGTATGGCGAGCAACTCAATAACTACAAATTAGGGTTTGCCTAAATGTCTTCTAATACAATCACTGCTGCATATGGAAATACTATGGAGAGCTACAGAATAATGCAGTATTGGCCTCAGTATCCAGGCCTGGTTGGAACAAGAAGGAATAAACTTGAAACAAAAAATACACACAATTCAGTAGCAACATATTCTTCTTGCTTTCCCAATGCTGTTATACAGTGATAAATCCGCACTCTATTTTCACTCAGACAAAAATCCCAATAGTATCAGCAGTATGTTTGTAATAAGACCCAATTAGAAACAAACAGCAGCAGAGTAATCGAAACATGAGGCCTATGGCAGTACTTAGCCAGCTTTCATTTCTAACACACTCACCTGAGAATAGAGCAGCATACTGTCAATTATCACATCAACATTTTAAGACAAAAGCTTTAAAAATATGATGTTTAAAATGTATATACTGCAATACGTTATGAAATATTATTTATTCTGGTTTTATCTTATTCCTGCAATCCAGCAGTTTCTTAGTGTTTGCTCTTGCACGCTGACCACTACGAAAAAGCACTACATTTGCATCGTATTACAGACAAGTTCCACTGGTATTTGTCTGTTAAATAACTTCATCCTTTATCAACAAGTCTTGAAAGCCCATATAAAGCAAAATACAGTAAGGGGAAGCCGCAACTTGTTTGGTTTGCCACACTCCAGCCATTTCAAAAGCAAGATGTAGATGTGAGCTGCGGCAATGTGCTACACAGGAGTATTGCAGTGACGCAAAAGCAAGCAGCTCAGACACAGTACCGAGACCAATGCATTCCTTACCATAACCACTGAGGGATGAGCGGGGTGTCCTGGAAGCAGGTCTGCATCCAGCTCCTCCATTCCCTCTGAAAGCCCCTCCACTTCTGTCACTGTCAGCAGCATGGTGGCATGTTTCGCTTTCATTGTCAGCATCTTGCACTTCGAATTCAAAGAAGCAATTTGCTCCTGGTATCCTTTGATCTTCTGAGCCAGCTCCTGAGGAAACATTTTTTTTTCCCTAGTGCAGAGGCAGCCAATAAAGGCCACGGGACCCGCAGCATTTCAGCTTCCGTGGCGAAGGCAAGCTCTCCCCTCCAAGCCCAGCCAATAACATCATAGTGCTGCCTCTCAGAAACCCCGCATCAGCCGCCGCACTAGCTGACAAGCAGGATGTTGACAGTGGAGAGAACAAGCCCGGCTGCGTCTGGCTGCACAGCTAAACCGCAGAGCCGAGAGCTTTGAAGCAAAACCGGAAAAGTGCTGCGAAAGGCTCTGTGTGCATGAGAAACGCAGAGGGGAGGGAAGGACACCTCACGCTCGCACCCAGCCTGAACCTGACACGAAGTCTGTAAGCTTCAGACTGCAGCAACGGGGAACGTCTTTCCCTCTTCCTGTCCTATTTTTTGCCCTGTTCTATTTCCATGTATCTGAGGAAGATGAAGCGTCTCCACACACTGCATGCCATGGAAATGAGGTCATGTGGTAACCACAACTGTAAAATGCCCCATTCAGCTCTTGCCAGAAAGAATGAATTGTTCAAACAATAACTCACAGGATCTAACAAGATCAAACGTGATAGGAACAATCAGTCACATAATAAGATTAAATGCAGACTAGATCACTTTTTGCCTGTTTGGATAAGCTATATTTTAATCTTGTCTTGGTTTTCTGTAAGTCTTCAGAGCTAGAAGCTGAGCTGCACACAGTACTAATCTTTTTCTAAAAAGAGCTGGAGAATCTGGCCTAAAGCAGAGTATATATTAAAATCTTGTCTTTTATGGCTGTGAAACAGTCTATCTGCATGGCCAAACACTATCAGAAGTTTAAGTTTAGTCAGAGAAGAAAGATGGAAAGGAATAGCCTTAGCAACTGACTTGTCTTCTCTCCTACCCTGTACCGCTCGCTGCACAGTTCAGTGCCCAGTTTCAAAGCTTTCAATGAATATACTTAAAACAAAAAAATAGTGGAAGATCCTCACATTTCTGCCAAAGCTATTGTTCCTGTCTCCCTAGATGCTCAGTAACATGTTAGAATTTTGATTTATAAAGTGAAAACAACATTTGTTCAAGCTTGCCTGCTAAATCAGTGATTATTCGCTCAAATACTTAATAATAAAGCAAAAATATATCTGCTTTTATTTCTTCAACAAACACAAGTTTTTCAAGGAAAAATAGCAACAGAAGTTGCAAGATCTAGTAGCTATAATAAGAAATAATTTCAATATCTTTTAAACAGTAAGTAAGATTACTGCTTCAGGCTGGTAAAATTAAAGGATTTTTTTTTTTTGTCGTATAACATTTTCAGGAAACCATTTCCTCAAAACCACAGTGCAGAACAGTCATAGCAAGAAATACAGAGTTAGAAATGGAAGCAACACAAAGACTGAGAATGATACTTTACTGTCTGGATTTCAATGTTACGTGGTCACTGTCTGTCACATTAGCAACAAAAGGAGCTCTCTTGGAGCTCCAAGGCTTGCCTTGGAAACTAAGCAGTCTTGAGTATAAAACATCAACTAGATCAATCAAAAACCAATCTGCAATCAAATCAAGCCATAAATTTAATGTCTAGCAGCTCAAATAGTTATCTGCTCTGTTTGGCAAGTACCAGTCATTCACTAATGCTCAATGAATGACATCTCTGGGGCCTAGTAGGAAATTATTGTCATTCAATATATTCACTTATCTCCATTATTCACCTATCTCCATTAATATTACTGAGATGCAATAACATTTGTGGCATTAATGTCCAATTCACTGAATATCTAACATACCTCTCTCAACTGAAAACAAAGAAAAGGAAAAAGAGGCAAAAATGTGATGGTGAAAAAATAAAGCAACTTATGAAAGCAATGTTCTATGAGATTGTGGATTATCTATTAAAATAATTCACAAATATGGAGATACTTGCCTACATTCTTATCTGAAAGTCTAAAGAAATACAATTCAGTAAACATAGTTCCAGAGTGTAACTAGTTACATACATGCATAGTCATACAAGCTTCCTACAAAACAGGGTGTACTTTCCTTCTACTTTCTTCCTCTTATTTTAATTCTAAACATAGCTACTGCAAATGTCCCTTTAAGTTCCTGTTCATGCAGGCTTCAACAGGGAATCTGGTAACTGATGTTCTCTTAAATTAATAACAAATTATTAAAAACGAGCAACACTTAAAACATTAGGTTACAGTACATAAAAGTGTGGAGAGCTTTAATTCAAAGGTAAAGAAATAGTGCCACCTGGTGCCAAAAGCGACACACAGAGATCAATGGTGCATTTTCTATCCCGAGAAATGCATGACAGACAGTGGAAGGGGAAAGGGGCTCAGGAGCTCCCATGCCAGCGCAGTGAGAAGGCTGCACAGAGTCTACCCTGACTCATTCAAGGGCTGACGATCAATGAGTTTGAGGGCAGGACCTGTAACTCCACGGGACAAAACTCTTCCCAATGACTTTAAAAGAAGCCTTTGCAGTGAACATTGCAGAGTCTTCCTCCAATTCTACTGTGGTTTTCCCATAATCCAAGTCCCTTGGTGTTCTTTTACAGAACGTTACTGGGATGGAAATGAGCAAGCACTTTAGGATATAGAAGTAGCAGTGATCGCCTGACTTAACTGTTCAACACTGACTTCTGGGACACTCCTCAGTCAAGTGCCAATGTTAATTGTCCCTTAATTATGCAATGCTTTCATTTATCATAATGTTGCCTGGAGATTAGGACACATCTAACAGAATAAACAAATGAATACTCCACACTGTACCAATAGCATCAACTTCCTATCTGGTATCAAGTCTGAGTAAGCCTGAAAAGTTGCTTAGCTAATTTATGACCAGTGCTTATGAACAGTTTTTTGGGTCAATGAGCTGCCATCAAGCCCATGTTGCTGCATTTTGGCTCTCCTACCTCATGACGTGAAATCTGGACCTGGAGTTCCTGGATGTTGCTGCTTGGTATTGGCTTGTCTTGGATCTCATGATGGGCGCTCTCTATCATTTGCTGTAAATGTTTCATTTCTTGCTCGTATTGCTCATACTGAACCACTGCTTCCTAGAGAGGAATAAAAAAATATTGAGTGTGCACATGAAAATAAATATTTACTTAGTCCAAGCATGACTGATCTCCCTTCTGAAGTGGAGCAAACGTACATCTATCTGTGACTCGCATTTGGATAAGCAAAGCAGGAATAAAGTCAGGAAAAAGTAACATAATTATGGAATGGTTTGGGTTGGAAGGGACCTTAAAGATCATCTAGTCCAACCCCTTGCCTTGGGCAGGGACACCTTCCACCAGACCAGGTTGCTCAAAGCTCCATCCAACCTGGCCTTGAAGTCTGTTCAGAAATACTGTGAACTGCAGTGAATTCAATGGGTTCATTTATTTAACTATTCAAAAAAATAGTTTACGTAACATGATGATTTAGATATCCAATACAAGGAGCTAGGACTTCTGCTTCTAACAAGTATCTGCATCAAACATACCTACCAAAAGATAGAATTGCCTAGTCTTATGGTTTTATGATAAAGCATTTTTATTTGCATTTTCACTTCAAGCCTCCATTTATGAAGTGGAAAGACCATATGAAAAAGTTAGATTTTACAGAAACTACAACTTGAGAGGATTATGAAGACTGATTCAGTCCATTATGCTACCTGTGTAGTATCAGTTCTTTCCTTCATAGATTCACCAGCAGTTTGTCTAACCTGTTTTTAAAACTTTTCAGTGTGACATTGTATCTGTCCTTATACTTAACTATCATTAAGTATCCTTAATGATCAAAAGTCTCTTCTGTTACCTAACTTGAAGCTCTGTAATCATACCCTAGCTCACTATGTATTTTTCTATCACTAAGTATCAGGAAAGAAAAGCTTATTCTCATCTTCTTTGGAAACACCTCTTAAATGTTTAATTATGAATCAAACAAACAATCAAACAAAACCTAGTTTTCTTGTATTTAGCAAAACTTGAAAATGCAAATTTAACAGATGCTGAATGACTCCAAAATCAGAAAGCAATTATATATAAATTTTAAATAAAGAGAAAAAAAAATCATTATTTTTATCCTAGAAAGCTATTCAATTTATTCAATAGTTTTAATGCAATCATTATAAGCAGTTGATGTTATAATGATATATAAATTTAATTAACTGAATATATATATTACAAAATTAACCTGCATACAATTGTATATTAGCTATTTGTCTAGTTAATCCTCACAGCATTATAAAAACCATAGCACGATCAAGGAGAGAACTGAGATAAGAGTCTGATTAGTAAGTCAACAATTAACATGATCGTGAATGTTAAAACCCTCAAAAAGGTGGAGTCAGAAATGACTGAAGGAAAAGAGGAATGCACAGAAATGTGAAATTCTCTGGTTTTGTCACAACTTCTATGTGTAATGGGTTTGTGTGGCAAGGTTTTGATA